CCCGAGTTTGGCCATGACCCCTGCCCTGACCACCACAGGGCCCTCTCCTGTGTTCCTGGTTTGGGGTCTAGTTGGTACTGTGACTAATCCAGATCAGAGATGGCAGAGGTTCTCTCATGTCACCCCAATTGGTCAACAGCGACACCTGGGGATGTGTTGGGGATTGTGAAGTTGAAAGGAAAAGTGCAGCGATGTGTGTGAGGTTGGCCACTTGCTTAAGTGCCAGGTATTTGCTGTTCCTCGAGCTGAGCACACCCTCTCATGCTGTCTGGCTAACCCTTCTTTCACAGAGCCCCAGGACACCCCAGGGTAACAGCCTGCTACTTCTTCCTTCCATCCACTCTCCCGTCTGTCCAGTCCTTATGGGTACTTACCTGTGCCAGTGTCTGTCCATACAGGAATAAGACACACACGATCCATCCCCACAAGTTACTCTTGGTCGGGGTCGTGTTGTGATAAGGCCACGTGGAGGTACACACCAAGCTCTTGGAGCCACCCGCTGCTGTGGGAGCCAGGGCGGGCTTCAGAGACTTGGGACTTTCAGCTGGCCCTTAAAGTGGGAGGAGGAACGGCTGGGTGGGGAGGGTAAGGAGAGGGGAACGGCATCCTAGGTGGGAGAAGGGGTGGCTGGGGCAAAGGCGATGAGACAGGAGATATTTAGCTGCCTGCAGCTGCTGGCTGTGGCTGTGGGGATGGGTGGAGGTCAGCTTGGGGCCAGTTGCAAAATGCCTGTTGTGCCAGGCTAAGACACTCGGACTTGATCCTGAAGGCAGTGGGGAGCTACAGGAGGCTTTGAGCAGCAGTGGGGATGGCAGAGATGCTGGGGAGTACCACAGGGGATCAGTGCTCCTGATGCACCTGAGGACATGGCCCAGGGAGCATGAAGGGAGTCCTGAAGAGGGAGAATGTAGACCAGCACTTCCCAGACTTTCACATGCCTGTGAGCCACCGGCATCTTGTTAAAATGGTGATTCTGATTCAGTGGGTTGGAGGTGAAGCCATGATTCTGCATTTCCAACAAGTTCCGTGGCGAGGCTGATGCTGCGGGACCAGGCTCCAAATTCTGAGCTGCAAGGTCAGCGGGAGCCTCTTGACCTGGAAGGACAGCTCCTAGGAAAGCTTCCCTCAGCCCCACTGGCCATGCAACTCTATCCATCATTGCAAGCCTGCAAACATCTGCCACCTCATTAGGTTCTCAAGCCAGTCAGGATCAGCAAGGTGCGGACTCTGACCCTCACTTCACAGGTTAGGAAATAAGCACACAGTACATAGGCAAGATCACTAGGGAGGGGTCAGGTCACCGGACCCAGGGCCAGCTCATCCTTGGCAAAGCCCATGGGACCACCTGGAGAGGTCCCATCTGTTAGTCAGTGCCTGGTCCTGCGTGAGATGCAGAGGGGGGCTTCCAAGGGGAAAGGGGCTTTCCAGGGACTCTTGCTGGCCAAACAGGACACAGAACCAGCCCTCCCCACTGAAGAATCCTTTATTGTCTATCTTAACGATGCTTACAGTTAGGTTTTGTCCACTAAACTTACTGTACTTCATCTCTCCATTGTTCCTTCAAAACTGGCTTCTATAACTGTCACCCAGAACTTCTGATGAAGCTACCAGTTTTCATTCTAACTTGATTCCAAATGAAAGCAAAGCCTAGAATGGAGCAGTCCTCAGGCTGTGGCTCCAGAGAGATAACAGTCATTCTGGGCTAAAAGGGCCTCTGCCATCAAACATGCCAAGATTATGGTGGAGTCTGTATCCATCACTACTCTATGGATGCACATTAGCACATCAAAGGCCTTGAAAATCCTCCTTAATTGAGTTTTCTATGTGTATTTGACCACAACCCTTTTCTGGAGACACCCACAGGGTCCACAGGGCACTGAGACAATGCTGAACCAGGTACTTAGTTAGTCAGTGTACTTACTGTCTCTGCCAAGTTCTTGAAGATGTTGAAAATGGCTGAGGTACCACTTTAGTTCCTCCACAGGCCTGTAAGTGCCAGGAGCCCCACGTTGGGAACTTAATGGGGGTGGGGGGGGCACGTAATGACAGGAGAGTGCCTAGTCTGGGGCAGGGGTGAGGGAAGGGGAGGTGGCTATTCGAGCCAGGGTGGCAAGGGGAGAGCTCTGGGAGGATGAGGCCTGCACTCAGTCCTGAGGGACAAGCAGCAACAAGTCATGAGCAGGTCTGGGGGAAGGGCATTCCAGAAGAGGTGACAGCAAGTGCAGAGGCCCTGAGGCAGGACCCAGGTAGGCTGCTTCTCATTCCAAGGCTGTTCCTGGAGGCCTGAGGTCCGAGGGCACGGGGCTGGGGAGGAGGCTGGGCAGCACAGCCTTTCTTAGTGAGGGTGGAGCGTCACTGACTCAGGAAAGGCAAGCAGCTCTGAGATCTCTGCCTGTCTCCACCTGCAGGGCATCTGAGGAGGCTTTCTTGAAGGAATCCAAGGAGGAGACCCCAGGCACAGAATGGGAGAAGGTGGCCCAGCTGTGTGACTTCAACCCCAAGAGCAGCAAGCAGTGCAAAGACGTGTCCCGCCTGCGCTCGGTGCTCATGTCCCTGAAGCAGACGCCGCTGTCCCCCTAGGTGCCTGCCACAGGCATGGCCACAGAGCAGGGGCGGGCCCTGGCAGAGGAGCAGCTGCTTTGGGCAGGGGTGGGGGAAATGCCTCCAGCAGCTGCTGCACACAGCCTACTCTGTTCCTCCCCATCTCCCAGGACTGGGAGGGGGAACCCTCACCCACTCCCCCTCCTTCCCTCCTGACCCTATGGCCCAGCCCCTTACACCTCCTCTCAGTCCACACAGTTGTGACTATCCCTCCTGATGTATTTTTTTTTCTTGGCTTAAAGGGTATGTTGTTAACTCTTTTTACACTTATTTATTATCATTCTCATTTATCTGGAAGCCCTAATTGGTGTCAGGGCTCAATTTATGCTTAGAACTTTCCCAGCTTCATGGGCTTGAGACAAGGTGAGGCTATTCCCCTGGGGCCCAGGACCTCCCAGTTGGAAGTGGGTGTCTCAAGTTGTCTATATCTGCTATCTCTACATCTCCTTACAGGAGGAAAGACCTCTCACAGAATTTTTTTGCAACCTTGATCCTTTGTGAATCTTGAACAAGCCTGTGTAATAGGGATTACAAGACTCCAAGAGGGAAAGAGGCTTCAAGTAGGAGGGAGAGGTGAGGCCAGAAGTTCCCAGTGGAGGTTCTGTCTCAGCCTGGGTGAGATGAGATGGAGCCTCTGCCAAACCTCCTTCCTTGGAATTTAGCCAGGAACCTCTGGATTTGGGGGGGCCCATAGCTCTGCATCCTTCCGCTGTGCCCCTCTGTGGATTTGGGATAAACCGTCAGTGACTACACCTCTTTCCCTTCAGCAGAGGTTGCAAACAGAACCTTCAAAATATGGTGACCTGTATGGTGTTTAAAAAGATTTGAGCAATTGCCAACCATATTGGTTTCCTAGAGCTGTTGCAACAAAGCACCATAGTGTCTGGCTTAGAACAACAGAAATTTATTGTCTCACCATTCTGGAGGTCAGAAGTCAGAAGTCAAGGCATCAGCAGGGCCATGGTCCCTCTGAAGGAACCAGGGAAGGCTCTGTTGAAGACTTTTCTAGCTTCTGGCAGCCTCAGGGTTCCTTGGCTTGTAGATGCATCACTACAATCTTGAGTTCATATTCATCTTTACATTGCGATCTTCACATCATATGTCTCCTATGCGTATCTATCTCTGGCCAAAGATCCCCTTTTAATAAGGACAGCAGTCATAATGGAGTAGGGCCCACCTTCTTGACCTCATTTTAATTTGATTACCTCCATAAAGATGCTATTTCCAAATAAGAACACCTGAGGTACTGGGGATACGACAATATATTTTTCGGGGGAGGGGTGAAACAGGGGATGGGTACAGGGACACACAATGATGCCTACCATTAAAGAATAGTGACTACCCTCTATAATTTATTTTTTTTAGCTGAGCCATCCTGCCACCTGTTGGCAGCTCAGTTTGGGCCGGGCATTGAACCAGTGTTGCTCAGAGCTCGCACTCTTGAGTGAGCTCTTAACCAACTGAGCCACTCAGCTAGCCCTGTGACTATCCTCTTTATAAGTCCACAGTCTTCACCACTCTGTATCCATTCCTGGAATCTTGAGGCCAAGGGTCACCACAATTTACTGCTTTGTATTCATAACCTGTGCCTTACAGATGAGAGACCATGGTGGGAGCAAGACATTTAGCTGGTTCTGATCACACACACACACACACACACACACACACACACACACGCCTCCATTTAGAAATCCAGACTGTCAGGAGGCCAGAGATGGGGGTGTGGCGTTTTCACTCCCTCTTTTCCCTTCTGGCAGCTTGCAGCTGGTGTTGAAACTGATGGAATCACACATGGAAGGATCTGGCTCCGAAACAAGACTTTTGAGCTGACCACAGGCTAGGAACTCGTTTGAGACTACATGAATGTGAAAGTCACGGGTTGCCTCTCTTCAAGAGTTTGCTTAGGTCCCCAGCCTCCTTTCTTCCTTAAACCTAAGACACTAGGTATACAAACCAATGACAGGCTTTGGGATTATGTTGTTTCCGTTACACCAGGCTGCTTCTCTGAGCCAGTTTCCTGTTTTATAAGATGCAGCAAGAAGCAAGCTGGGATGGTCTAGATGAGTGGAGTCTCAGGTGCCCTGGGAGTGGGGTGAGAGGCAGAAGTACAGTGTAGGGCAGAGCCCCCTGCCTCTGACAAGACCATGGCCAGTCTTATGTGAAGAAAGGTTTTCCTACTGAAAGTCTGGAAATTATTGTTAACATCCATTCCCCCCACCCCTCCCGGAAATCTCTACTGCAGGGGAATCTCTACTTTTAACAATGTTCCAAGATGCAGGAACGTTTGGGAATCATTAGAAGATTCGATTTCTAACAGTCCCTGCAGCTTTTAGTCTGTTTTCTCCTAAATCCAAAGACCAAGAACCTTGTGGATGAGATTGAGAATGAATTCATGAAACTGTAAGTGGATCAGAGTTTATTAAGTAGGGATTGGAGGAGATGCCACACAAATAGAAGTATTCAACGCCCAAACTGAACCAAACCCGAGATAACCTGGGAAGAAATCTGTCGGTTAGTCAATTCGCCACCTCCTCCTCCATTGACACAGGGGCTTGTCAGGGGGGATGAGGGTGTAAGTCCGGTGGCAGGACCGGTGGTAGCTCCTGGGGCTGGGAATGATCTCCGCGGAGCTTTCAAGGCCAGGCCGCGGGCTCAGGGTCGAGACTTCAGGGCGGATGCAGCTAGACCCAGCAAGATGGCTGCGACCGTGAAGCCCTGGGCGGCGATCCGGGTGCGCATCATGAGCTGGGAGCGATGGCTCTGACCCCGGTGGAAGCAGTAGAGGCCGTAAGCAAGGGCGGCCGCCGTGCCTAGGCAGCCTGAGGAGGGGACAAAGCAGGTGGGGACTAGCAGGTACCACTTTAGGTCTCCCTTCTCCTAGGTCAAGATCTTAGAACAATGGTGGGGAGGGAACAAGGTGGGAAGAGTTGGCCCGGGGAGGGTCATCAGTTACAGAGACCGCTCCATCCTAGACACTGTATCCCGCCCTGATCCTACTCCAATCAAGTTCACGCCTCACCGCACGGCGCCCCATCGCCACATCTCTGGTCCAGTCTCTTTTCAGTCCCCCCTGGCGTCCCTGGTTCTTCCCTATTTCATTCCCCACGACATCACTGTCTTCTCCGTGTACAGTTCCTCCAGCAGCCGCTTACCTATGGGTACCATTGGGTTCTCGCGGGTCTTGCGAAGGAATTTTTCCTTGAAGGTTTCCGCACTGCTGTAAACACTGGGGCTAAAGCCCTCAATGACTGGGGGTTGCGATGTATCAATGGGTACCCCCGGAGTCACAGGGCCAGGAGTCGCCATGTCCTAGGCAAGAGTGGTAGGAGAAAATGGGGACGTTAAACCACGCCTCCTGGGGAAGTCGCGAAAGAGGGCGGGGAAAAGGAGTTTGCTGAGCTTTGTGCGTAGGCGCAACCGCTCATTGCATTCTGGGACTTATCGTAGTCAGCATTGTAGAACTACGTGGCGAACTACATTTCCCAGAAAGCCTGCCAAAGCGTGCGCGGACGCGCCAGAAGGAGTCGACTGCACGAGGTGCCGGACCTTAGAGGAGTCGAGCGAGTAGCCGGTGTTGTGGTCAGCGCGATGCCCAAGGCCAAGGGGAAGACCAGGAGGCAGAAATTCGGTTACAATGTTAACCGGAAGCGTCTTAACCGGAATGCTAGACGGAAGGCAGCGCCGCGGATCGAGTGGTGAGGGGGCCGGGGTTCTGAAGGCTGAGGGCCTTGGCCGGGATGGCCCGGGAGATGACAGTTCCGTGATCTCTCTCTCTTTGCCGGCAGCTCCCACATCCGACATGCCTGGGACCACGCCAAATCGGTACGGCAGAACCTGGCCGAGATGGGGTTGGCTATGGACCCCAACAAGGCGGTGCCCCTCCGTAAAAGAAAGGTATTGAGTTGGCAGGGCCCCGGTCTTCAACAAACCCCGTTCCCCTTCCGTATTTAGCTGGGTTTCAGAACTTGATCCTGCTTGTACCCTCCCATCCTTCCTGGGTTTGCGACTTCTCTACAGCCAACTAGGGCGGCCTGCACTGACTGTGGTTGCGGGTCCCTTTTAGACCTTCCTCACACTCCCGCCCCAGCACATATTGGACCTGCGTTCGAGTTCCCCTTTCCTTCTCCACTCATTTTTTCCCCTCTGAAGTTAACCTGTTTGGGTCCCTTGGCATCTCAATAGTATTTCCCAGAGTTTATCTTTTTCAGCTCTTAGTTTTCCTAAGAGCTCTCCGTAGTTTGGGATCTTTACTTACTATTCCTTACACCTCTCCCCAGCCATACAATCATCCTTTGGCTCCCCTGGGGCGAGTTTCTCCGGAATAAGTCTTTTCCTGGACCACCCTTTCTAAAACAGCACCCATTTCCACTCAGTAAATTCTTCCCAGTTTTATTTTAATTCATAACATTTGTAAGTACTTGATGGTATATTATATATTTATTTGTTTATGTCTATTGTCTGTGCCTCTTTCTCTGAACATAATCTCCTTGGGGACAAGGACTGGGTTTTGCTCGCTACTAAATTCCCAGGGGTGTTTAGGATGTGACTAGTGCTGAATGAATAGGTAACCTACTGAGTAGGCTTGCTTATTGAACTGGTCCCATTGCCTTTAGGCAAGTTTTTTTTTAACCCTTTATGCCAGAGAAAAATGGCAGTACTGTTTCTAGAACAACTGTGAAGGTGCGCTTCCTCAAAGAGAAGATATCTGAAGTCTCCCTGTCATTATAAATTATAAAGCACTTTCATGTGCATTGTTTCATTCGATTAACATCCAAGAAGTGAGGCAAGCAAGGGGTATAATGCCAATTTCGTAAATAGGCACAGAAAGAGGAATTCCTTGCTTGAGTTTCTTGGGAACCCTGAAGCCTCCAGGGCATTGATTCTCCTTGTCATCTACTCCTGCTTGACCTTGTGTAGGGATTCTTATGGGTAATGCAGTTGTGTTGGGATGGGCAGGAGCCCCTAGAATTTCCCGTCATCCGGGATCCTTCCTTGGTGTACTGGTCTCACTGGCTCTGTTTTCTGTAGGTGAAGGCCATGGAGGTGGACCTAGAGGGAAGGCCTCAGGAGATTGTGCGGAAGCCCTATGTGCTGAATGGTAGGTGCTGGCCACATTCCTTTAGGTCACCATCCTGCACAGTCAGGGCTGGAAAGGGCCCTTGGATGTCATCGTTTTACAGGTGGCGAAACTAAAGTTCAGGGGGCAGAAGTGAACTTGTCTAGGGCTCACAGAGTTAGGCTGGGACATTTTCAGTCTACTGACTAAACTCAAATGTGTGAAATGAGGTCAGAGATGTTCAGGTCCCTGAGAGGCTAGAAAAGAAACCATGAAGTCTCAGGCATGCATTTCAGCTTCTCGTGAATTTAAAGATGACCAGATTTTTAGAAATTTCACCTTCTCATTTAATCTTCTAATAACAAATCAATTTCATGTATATTAAGGCTATAGAGACTGAATATTAAAATAATAGAGTAAATTTTGCAGGGAAGCAGGAATACTCTGGAGTTCTCCGCCCATCCTTCCTCTTAACTGTTCGAGATTTTTAACAGTTCTCCTAAAAGTAAAACGATGTAAATGGCCGGACATTTGATATATCAGGTTGTTGGGAAATTCATGACGTATTTTTCTGTTTTTCAGCGCAAAAATGCATCATGACTTTCTCAACGACCCAATAGAATTCCTTGAGTTTCTATGTTTAGTGTATCTCAGTGATTCTCATAAGAATTACTGCACTGTTGGACATATAAAATAGTGTACATATTGTATTATAGTTAAAGCTAATTTTAAAAAAGTTTTACTTTTAATCCTTTTATTAAATAATTTTTAAATGTGGTTCAAAAACAGATTACATGAAATGTACCATCTTAATCATTTTTAAATCTATAGTTCAGTAGTGTTAAGTATATTCACGTGGTCATGCAGCAGATTTCCAGAACTTTTTCATATTCAGAACTGAAATTATCCCCATTGAACAACAACTCCCCATTTCCCCCTCTCCCAACCCCTGGTAGTTGAGTCAGATAATTTTGAGTATAAGCAAATTTTTTTTTTTTTTAGATTTTTATTGGGAAATTTGGGGAGGGGAACAGACAAGTTTCTGTCCTTTTGTTCTTCAGTCTAGTTGTGGAGGACGTCGCTTCACTGGCCCATGTTGGTATTAAGATCATTGCACTCTTTCCCGGCTGAGGCAGATTGGTCGCCAGCCATTGGACGGCCGCTCACAGCAGCTCATGGCAGTTCACGCCAGCTGCCGGCCATTCACAGTAGCTTACGGCAGCCCATTGCAGCAGGGGCTGCAGCCTATGCTGTCGTTGGCGACTCACGGCAGCCCAGCTCCAGGTTAAGCTGTTGTTCACCATCTTAGCTGTAGAGGGCGCAGTGTCACCGGCCCATGTGGGATCCGAACCGGCGGCCCTGCTGCTCAGTGCTCGCACTCTCAAACCAACTCTTTTTTTTTTTTTTTGCAGAGGATAGTTTTATTAGAGCAGAAAGTTACAGCTCTCAAAATGAGAGGGGGTCCCGACTGGGGTGCCCCTGTTTTCTTTTTTTTAAGGCTTTATTTTTATTAGAGCAGAAAGTTACAGCTCTCAAAATGAGAGGGGGTCCTGACTGGGATGTCCCTCAAACCAACTCTTAACCAATGAGCCACTCTGCCGGCCCGACTATAAGCAATTTTAGCCCTTAACACCGGGGAAGATTTGACCACCTTGTTTCCATGAACTATTTTTCTTCCTTCATAGATGTGAAATAGGGAGTATTTGCCTAGCTATTTAAAAAGTGAAACCATTCTTGGCTCCACAGTTTGGCTTTTTCCCTTATATGGAGCAGAGAGGTGCCTGGGCCCAGTCTTATGCTCTAATTCTCATTTACTCACATCTTTTCATTTCACATGTTGTAACACTTCAAGAAAAGAGGTTCTCAGAGTTTTACCCTGTGGGCAGGCAATGTATATTCATCTCTATCCCCAGGACCTGGCACTAGCCAAGATTATCAGTTTGGGCCTTTCTTTTACCCACCCGGAGGCCCAAAGATGACTTGCCTTTTGGGTTGTTACCACACTGATAGATGATCGTCATAGGCAGAGTCCTGGGATCTGAGGGGCTGAAGAGGAAGGCTCTAGCCCTAAAGATGGGCATAGAGAGACAAAGCCCATGAGATGGCTGGTGTAGCAATTCTTATGGCCTGGGACTGGGCAAAGGGGTAACTGGGCAGCTCAAATAGTGCAGGAAGCAACACCTCATTCCAATTCCTGACTTTCTCACCCCAGACTTGGAGGTAGAAGCCAGTCTCCCAGAAAAGAAAGGAAATACGCTGTCTCGGGACCTCATAGACTACGTACGCTACATGGTGGAGAACCACGGGGAAGACTATAAGGTGAGTGGCTCAGGCCAGCAGGAAAAACCACTGGGGCTCATTGGGAAGGCACCTGGACCATTCAAGATCTGATCTGCTTGCCTAGTGCCTATTTCCTGAGACTGAGCGGAAACAGGGACGAAAGACTCGAGGAAAGAAATCTCACTAACAGAATGCTTATAGCTAGGATAGACTGAGTGGCTATCCCGTATGTTGTTTTGTTTGCGTGGTATTCTTTTTTTTTTTAAGCTGAGGCATCCTGCCACCTGTTGGCAGCTCAGCGGCTGCTCAGCTTGGGCCGGCAATCGAACTGCTGTTGCTCAGAGCTCAAACTCTTGAGCGAGCTCTTAACCAACTGAGCCACTCGGCCGGCCCTTGCGTGGTATTTTTAAAGAACTTGAAATAGGTGCCATTTTCATTATGGGAGGTTTCAAATAAAAGTCCACATTTTTGGCTGCTGTTAAAAATCGGAAGATCTGGCTACACCTGAGTCCTGTGCCTAGATGGCAGTAGTTGGCTGTGGATGGAGCACGGGCTGCTCAGCTGGTCCCAGCTACTGCCTGTTCCCTGAGGTCATCTGCACCCATTTCCCCACATACACCATGGCTTTTCAAGTGAGGAAGCTAAACCTCCGGGACAGGAAGTGACTTGCTCAGCTCCAGCAGAGCTAGGATTTGAACTTTTGCCTGTCCAGCCCTCAAGTGCCCTTCTTCTTTCTTAGGCTATGGCCCGAGATGAGAAGAATTACTATCAAGATACCCCGAAACAGATTCGGAATAAGATCAATGTCTATAAGCGTTTTTACCCAGCAGAGTGGCAAGCCTTTGTTGAATCTTTGCAGAAGACTAAAATGGAGATCGAGTGACTGGTTTATGTTTGCCAGGCTGAGGCCTCCTCCTGGACCTGAGAAGCTGGAGTCAGGATGTAAGGCAAGGAGGGGTGTGTGGCTACAGATGAGGCTGGCCAAACCCCATGGAATCAAAAGGTTTTTCTCTCTCTCACTCCCCTCTCTGGGGAAGGAACTGACTCCCAGGGGCTCCAATTTATATTCTTC